AGAAAGGCCACATAGCAGGGCCAGATGTCATGGGAGCTATATAGAAGGAAGACCAGTCCAGCCTGAGTGGCCGTGACAACTGCGATGACCAGCTTTGACCACAGGGCCCAGCGGATCTTCATAAAGCCGGCGGCAAAGGATGTGATGGCACCTGCAGGGGAGGCAGCACAGGTCATGGCCATCCTGGGAACCATGGGTGGAGTGGGGCTAGAGGAAGTATAGGAGGTGATGGGAAAGGGGGCAAGGCAGGATGCACAGGGTCTGGAGAGGGAGGGGTGAGGCTAGGGCATGGTGAGGGGATGAACAGAGGCAGAAGGTCAGGGAAGTGGGGCAGGCCAAGATGAAAGAAAGCAGGGGTGGGCAAGAGAATGGCAGGAAGGCCAGGGAAAAAGTGGGCAGTGTGGGGGAGGTAGAGGGGAGACGGAGACAGGGCAAGGGAGCAAGTGGAAAGGGAAGGGTCAGGGAGGTAGAGTACCGAGCAGAGTGGAGGCGGCGTCTGCCCCACCGTTGTAGACTCGTGTACTGTCTGTGGTGGGGTACACCATGTTCCACAGGATGTGCACATAGTAGACGATCAGGTAGTAGCCGGCCGAGTTAAAGATCCACCAGAGGGACCAGAGGCGCAGCTGCGGCAGCTGCAGGCTGTGGCCCAGCTCACATAGCATGCGCACCAGGACCGAGTCCCTGCAGGTGGCCAGCAGCTTGGCACCCTTTGGCCGGCCTGGGCTGGGGTTCATCTGGTCCAGCTCACAGGGCGAGGACGGGTGCATGGGCACGCTGCGGTTGAAGAACAGGCTGCGCTTGGGGCGCTTCAGGAAGAGGGCGAGGACCAGGCTGAAGGTGAGGAAGGCCAGGGAGATGTAGTTGAGCGTGGAGAAGGAGATGCGGCCCACAGTGACCAGCAGCTGACCCAGCACAGAGCTGGTGAAGACACCCAGCAGCACGGCGACCCGCGAATAGCTAGCCACGCGCTGGTAGCGTGCAGGCTGCACGAGGGAGAAGACATAGGAGGAGTAGGCAATGCGCGCCGCCATGGTGATGCTGTAAAAGAACTCCATGAGCTGCATGTGCAGTACCGCACGGCCACGAAGTAGCAGCAGCCACACGCACACGTAGCTCAGACACTGCAGCAGCAGCACCGGCTTATAACGCAGGTAGTCAGTGAGCAGGAACACGGGTACCAGCACTGCCAGGTATGAGTAGGACAGCACTGGTGTGATCTCGTTGGTGACCTGTGGACAGCAAACAGAGAGCCGGGCTGTCAGTGAGTGCCTGTCCAGTGCCCCACCCAGGGCAGCAGGCACATGGCAAACACATGTCCGACCTCCTGCCAGCCCTGAGGAGCCCGCTACCCTGACCTTGATCAGCTAGGCTGCCTCCATCCATGTGGGAGGAGAGACAGATGTGAGGGTAGAGCCACACAGAACAAGCTCACAGGGTGCCCACACAGAACTCTAAAAGAGGGGAAGAAATACAATCAACAGGGGTGGGGGGCCGGCAGGGGAGGGCAGCAATGTAAGGAGGTAGGAGAGGGCACACTGTTTCCTGATGAAGGCTCTGGAACCATCTCTGTCCCCATGCAGCAGGTCATTCAGGGGAGGAGCCAGAGATGGGCTACCAGCCTCCTCTTTCCCCATCAGGCAGAACTAGGACCCCATGTTCTATGGAAACTGGGTTCCATGGGGGGCAGTGGAGAGACAGACTCCCACAAATTCAGAAAGCAATAGCTCAGAAGCAAGAGCTCTCCTAGCACCTTGGGACCCCCACTCTAATGCAGAGGAATACTGTGCACACAGCACCCCACCTCCACCACCAGGTCAAAATAAGAGCAAGCAGCAAGCAGGACCAGCCCACATGTGCCTGGAAAGAGTAGCCAGGGCCTTCTGGAGCTTCTCTCGAACCTGAATTCACAGGTCCCACTTTATCTACTCCTCAAAGCAAGAGCAGGGTCTATGGCTTAAGGGCCACTGCCAGCTACCCTCAACCTCATTCTAGGCTCTAGTCAACAGGCCAGCATATTGGGTGGCCCTTGTAACTGAGAAGACCAGAGCCTCCCTGGGTCTTCCCCACCCTTTTCCCTCTCCCACCTCTACTCTACTTTTCTGACTGGGCAGGTGGACACAGCTTAGCCCAGACCGTAACCTGAGTACCACTTGGCAAGCCACTGGGAAGAGCACCACAGGAGTCCCAGTGAGTAGGTGGCATGTCAGGTGGCCAGGGCTCTGACAGGAGGATGCCTCCTCCTAGCCTGAGCCAGCATTATCCAGTGTTTTCACTAGGACTCAGGCTGGGTTCCGGCTGAGTGGGCCATGCAGGGAATGGATCCCAAATCTAGTTCCAGCACACCTCAGGGCCTAGGAGGGAAGGCCCAGCTAGACCCAAGACAGCCAGGACAACTGAGCAGGACCTGGGGTTGGCAGAGGGACTGGACCTCATGGGAGTAAGGCCCCCCCCTGGCAGGAGGGCATAACCCTAGCAGGAAGGATTGCTATGTGCGAAGTCCTAGGCTGGGGCTCCCCAGGCACAGGCAGGGTGACAGCTCCCATGGCACAGCCCAGACAAGCACACCACACCCAGAAGCACCTTCGTGAGCTCAGGGCTAGGACAGGGCTACTCAGTTAACAGCATAAGTCATGGAGGTGAGTTATGCAGATGAAAAATGGTACGCCAGAAGCAGGTATCTGATACATCGCCAGTTCCCCAAAGGCACCAGGACTCCTATAGGGCAGGGAGAAAGGGAGCTAGTCCCAAGGACAGCAGCAGCATGCCAGGCAGGTAGCCAACACTGCTGTCACAGGAGGAATAAGGTGACGAGAACACAGCAGAGGAAGCTGACTCTGTGGTCAGTTAGGCAGTAGTCCACGTGCCATGACCAAGGTCCCAGGAAGCGTGTTACAGGTTGTGGAGGAGGCAGACACCTCACAGGAGGGAGGCCAGAAACGTCAGCTGGGACCACAGTGTCCAGGGCCCCTTATAACCTAAGCGTGCTGGAATGATCCTGGCACTGCAACAGAAAGACTGGGAATCACCGAGTCACCCTCATGGCACCCTAGACAGGCATAACCTAGGTGCCATCAGCCTTAATAATGTAGACAAATCTCCCAGGTCAGACAGGGCAGGGAGTGAGCTGCCTAAGATGTGCCGTAAGACACCATTTTTGTGGGCTTCTGGACACGAAGCCAGCAAGGAAAGCCAGCCTCCTGGTAGACTAGCCCTGTCCCACAGCCAGAGGGGCTGGGTGGGAGCAGACCCTGCAGCCAACTGCTAGAGCCACCTACACTTTCCCTCCCTGAGTTACTCAGGTCTGGAGAGGACCTCCTTGGTAGGCAATAAGCAACATGAGGGTACACGGGGACTGGTGACACCCTTGCTCTAGAGCCTTCTGCTATTCTACTTCAGTGGAGGCACCACACATTGCTTGACAATGGAGGTGGCCTTCAAGAAGAGCAAAGGAAGTTGTATGGCCAGCCAGTGAGAAGGGATGTGAGGGACCAGCTGGTCAGGTGAAGCACTGCCCTGAGAAGGCAGACAGACTTGTGGCTCCAGCCCCAGCCTGGGAGGGACCTGGCTCTGGCAGGTGGCAGGCAGTGCATAGCCCTGGCCCCAGGGCCAGACAGCTGCCACACACAGTGTCGAGCCATATGCAGGCCAGTCATGTGGGGTACATCCACCTGTTGATAGGCCACTCCTCATGGCAGGCCAACAATTCTAGTGTGTGTGAGGGGCAGGCCAAGCACCAGGCCAGGAGAGGCAGGAGCTTCACTAAGAAAACAGGGAAAGTCCAGGAATAGTGTTGTGGGTGTAGAGCAGGGTGGCCACAAGGAAGGAACAGAGATTGGGGTGGGGGCTGAGCAGGCCAGGGAGGGGCTCACAGCCCAGAGCAAGGGGCCTCAGGCAGAATGAGCATGTGGGAAGGGGTGGCCGTAGCTGGGACAGCTGCACCTGCCTCCAAGTCCCCATGTACCTACACAGAATGACAGCAGAGCTTCAGGGGCTTGCTGCTTCTATTCTACCTGTGGCCTCGGGAACTTACTTTGGGCATTAGTAAGACTTCAGTAAGACACACTGTCTCTGTGGCCAAATAAAGAAAAATTCCTTCCATAATCCCTTCAGGCACACAGCTGCCAAGTCCCTGCTGGAGCAAGCTGCCCAGTGGGGCTCACTGTGAACCTTCTCTGTTGACTGCAGGTACAGGAAGAAGGGCAGCAACCCCACTCTGCTCCTTCCCAGAGGCTGGAACTGACACAGGCGTCCTCTCTGTAGGGTCTGGTAACTTAAAGGCAGCCCATCCCACTGTCAGAGCTCCTAGAGCACGGGTGCAAGACCCAGCTCAGTCCCTGGGGACTCTGTACCCCCAAGCTGTAACCTACCCTCTGCAACAGATGGGTCCCCACCCCTCAACACAGTCCCGCACCCCCCACATGCCTGCTCCTGTGTGAAGTTCTTGTCCGGCCCCAGGAGGTAGGGTGTGATGAAGCTCTCGCCGGGCCGCATCTGTGCCATGAAGCCGAAGAAGCAGAGGTAGCATACCAGGCACCGCCATGGCTCCGGGGCTGCCTCCTTTTTCACTGCTGGCTCAGAGGGCATCATACTGCCCGGGCCAGCGAGGAATGTAGATGGGCCTTGCAAGTCACACTGTACCTGGAATGGAAAACCTAGGTTGGGCAGCTCCACAGGAGCTAGAGCACTGCCCTCCTCCCCAGCGCCCTCCCTGCCATTCAGAGGCCTGACATCAGCCTAGACACGCAGGGCCCAGACCCCCCGCCTCTGCCGGTCTGCCCGTCTGAGAATCTCTATAGCCTATATAGTGATCCAGAAGTGCAGGTCACCCAGACCAGGATGTCATCACCTCCGGGGGCAGCCAAGGCTGATGGAGGCCTTCATCAACAGGCTATTTAAACATGAATGTAAACCAAATTAATCAGCTAATTAACAAAGTTAATAAATCTAAAACCCAGGGTTTGGGGCATACCAGGATCATCCTGAGCGCTCAGGAACATGTAGGGCCGAGGCTGCCAGGCCTGGTGTGCCTCCCTCACCCCATTGTTCTCAGGGAAAGCCTGCACCAGCAGCTGGTAGTGGCAGTGGCCATGGCGCCCAGGCATGTCCATGTGGAACTGCTGCTCTAGGGGCACCCAAGATGGTGAGGAGAGAGCAGGGGCAGGAACAGGTCCTGCTGAGAGGCCAGCACATACTCTAGGCTGGGTGGCAGGAGGCAGCCACAGGTGAAGAACCAGCCCAGAAGTGAGGTCTGCATAGGCCTGTGGGGTTGGACCCTACGTACAAGCATAGGCAGCAGTTGTGGGTACCACAGGGGGCCAAATGAAGCATTAGATGATCGCAGCACAGAGAGGAGGCCCAGACTCGGAGCCTGGTCCCAGATAGCAGGTCCTTCCTAAAAGAGCAATAGCCGAAAGCATGCACTGAGGCATATTTGACACATTCCAGATGGGTGCCCCAGATGGCCTCACTCCCCAAGGCAACATGAGTCAGCAGCAGGCAGGGCAGTCTAGCTCTGTGTCCCCGAGATAGCCATGCCCCATTGGGCCCAGGGCCACTCAGGGTGGCACCAGCAGCAGCATTAGTCAGAACAGGCACCAGTGAGGACTTTGTCTTTCCCATCTCCTTTCCCTGCTTTGGTCCAGAAGGGCTGCGTTAGGTCAGGCAAGAACACCTGCACCAACAGTGGTGCTTTGTTGGAGAGGGGCAGAAGCCTACCTACTTACAAACGCAATGTCATTCTCTGCTTCCTGTCACTGCCGTGTCTCTGCACACCAATCAGTGCTGGTTTTCCACTTAACACATCAATATAAAGCTCCTTTTTAAATGAGTCAAAAAGTAAGCTGCCCCAGAGAAGAATGTCACCTGAAGGCACTCATGCCAAGTTGCCCAGGCCACAACCAGACCCAGTAGGAGCCTGCATGACAGCCCATGTACAAGGCCAGCCACCATGGCTGTGACCACTGTCCCTCTGCTCTGGATTTACACAGTTGGACAACTCACTGTCCAGCCTGTTCAGATCCTCTACAGATATTTGGGATATCCCCCCACCAATCCTCAAACAGGACAAAGGAAGCTCCCTAGATGTGCGACAGCTGTGGACACCTAGGCACCCTAGGGAAAATTCACCCCAGATTCCCAGCACTCAGTCCCTACTTGTGCTGACAGAACTTCCCACACAGGCCCAGGAAAGTGAGGTAACCTATGGGGACCAGCCATGGGGCAGTGACAGTCTTCCCCAGTCTGTGCAGACAAAGCACCGAGAACTGTCAGAACTGCCCCAGTTACTCATGAGGACGGAGAGAAATATGGTAACAGCAGTGAATCCCCAAAAGAACAGAGGCTGGTAGACTTGTTTGTGGGAACTACAGAAAGAGAAGAGGAAGGCTGGAGGTGAGGACAGCTGTGAGAATTCTAGAGGGTCCCGGGGGCGGCGGCG